TTGTTGTCCAGGCTGGAGTGTCATGGCGTGATCTTGGCTCACTGCAACCTCCACCTCCCAGGTACAAGCAATTCTCCTGCCTCAGCCTCCCAAGTAGCTGGGATTACAGGCATGCGTCAACACACCTGGCTAATTCTTTTGTGTGTGTATTTTTAGTAGAGATGGGGTTTCTCCATGTTGATCAGGTTGGTCCCAATCTCCTAACCTCAGGTGACCTGCCTGCCTCGGCCTCCCAAAGTGTTGAGATTACAGGCATGAGCCACCATGCCTGGCCCTTAATTTCTAAATACTGAATGAGCAAGTCATACCACATAGCAATATCTGCCTATCATCTGTAGAAATGAACTGACTCTCAGGCCAGCAATATTACCAAGATGGCTTTAAGTAGGACCTTTAACATAACATGATTTCTAGAATAATGAATTATTAAGGTGTCTTTCAAAGATGTAAATGTTCTCAAGTACTTTAGAAATGCCAGCCTTTGAAGATTTTAAGTTTCATAAGGTACGATAAGGTTCATAAAGAAGGGTGCCTAGGTTATCAGACCTCAAAGAAGGCAGGAGGATGGGAATAATAGAAACTTCAGAGCCCAGTGGGATGTGGAAGTGTCCCCGGGCTCCCTTAGTCTCTGGCCTGACATAATTGGGCAGGCTAAGCAAACCTAAATGTTACCCATTTGAACTCTTGTTGTGGCGGTGCTAGAACACTGTAAAAATGCATTGACATTCAACATTCTCCTGCCCCTCCCCATTTCATATACTAAAGAAAACATAAGTGCTCACTGTCATTTCGAAGGAAATTATTAAGCAGTTGGAAAAGAGGAAAACTATCCCAGGAGTCTTGTGGTTGAGCCTCTAGTGCAGTGTCCATATCCACGGTAAATAAAGCCCAAAATTTCTCTGCATGTTCAGCCAACAAATCAGGCCACCAGGCAAACGCCTACAAAAGGATAAAAACATAAAGGACAGAAACAGCTTACTTTTTAGAAACATGCGCAAGTACTGTGCTAGCTGAAAATATTTGATAACATGTCTTAGTTTCACAAACAAGCATGATAAACAAAAGGTAATATTTTTTAACCTGAGAAAAATTTTATAGGCACATAACACATTTAAATCATATATTTGGCACTGATTAATGAAATACAAAATAGAAAATTATAATGTACAAGGACATTTATTCCTTTATAAAAGAAATACATGCTTAGTTTACAACATTTAGAAAATACATAAAACAAAAAAATTGTATCTCACAATTTAAAAGTATTCTGATTTTTTGATGAATTTATTTCTAATATTTCTTTTTTTTTCTGTGACTAGAAACATTAAAACATTTGGTATCACACTTTATAATATTTTCATATGATTTCACTTTTAATAACAGCATAATTTTCTACTATAAGGATATACTGTTATTTATTTACATATTCCCCAATTAAAATGGCTGTTTTCAACTTTTTGCTATTCTCAATGATATTGTGCTAAATATCTTTACATAAAAATCTTTGAATATAGTACTGATTATTTCCTTAGGATAAACTTCTAATAAGTACTGGATTAATGGGTACGCATTTTAGAGTCTTCACACATTGCAAATTGCTCTTTACAAAAAGTGTTTGCTCACATCTATTCTCCATTCAGCATTCAGTCAGTCATCACTTCATTTTTTTTTTTTTTTTGAGACGGAGTTTCACTCTTGTTGCCCAGGCTAGAGTGCAATGGCGCATTCTTGGCTCACCACAACCTCTGTCTCCTGGGATCAAGCGATTCTCCTGTCTCAGCCTCCCAAGTAGCTGGGATTACAGGCATGTGCCACCACACCCAGCTAATTTTTTGTATTTTTAGTAGAGACAGGGTTTCACCATGTTGGCCAGGATAGTCTCGATCTCTTGACCTCGTGATCCACCCGCCTTGGCATCCCAAAGTGCTGGGATTACAGGCGTAAGCCACCGTGCCCGGCCCATTTCATTTATTTTTTTGAGACAGGGCCTCACTCTGTCACACAGGCTGGAGTGCAGTTGGTTGATCTCAGCTCACTGCAACCTCTGCTTCCCAGGTTCAAGTGATTCTCACGCCTCAGCCTCTCAAGTAGCTGGGAGCACAGGTGCATGCCACCATGCCTGGCTAATGTTTTTGCATATTTTTAGGAGAGATGGAGTTTCACTATGTTGGCCAGGTTGGTCTCCAACTCCTGGTCTCAAGTGATCTGCCAGCCTCGGCCTTCCAAAGTGCTGAAATTACTGGTGTGAGCCATGGCGCCTGGCCTCAAATATGAATTAGATTATAACAGGAAGAGAGCAACCTCAAAAAAGTGAATTGCAAAATTTTGACACACCGTTTTTCTTAAGAACGTTTCATGTTTATAAACATTTCATATTTCAAGTTTATAGTGAATGTGGCCTTAAAATAATAGATATAAAATAATAATTAGTAACTTTAAAAAATTGCCATGTAATTAGTTAGCAGATGGTAAAAGTTGACTTAAGGAAGAACAGTGTAGTATAAATAATAGATTTAAGAGTTAGGGACATATTATCACCTGGTTCAATGCTGTGACCAATATATGAATGTAAAAACTGGTTAAGAATGGTATGCATGATGAAAATTGAGCATATTGTTTTTTGCAAATATTATCTTTGAATATTTTTTGGTTAAATATCTGATAAAATGGGTATATGACATAATATAAAAACACACAAAAGGCCGGGTACAGTGGCTTATGCTTGTAATCCCAGGGTTGATCACTTGAAGTCAGGAGTTTGAGACCAGCCTGGCTAACGTGGTGAAATCTGGTCTCTACTAAAAATATAAAAAATTTGCTAGGCATGGGGGAGGGCGCCTGTAATCCCAGCTAGTCTGGAGGCTGAGGCAGGTGAATTGCTTGAATCTGGGAGGCGAAGGTTGCAGTGAGCTGAGATTGTGCCATTGAACTCCAGCCTGGGTAACAAGAGTGAAACTCCTTCTCAAAACACACACACACACACACACACACACACACACACACACACACACACACACTACATGATTTCATTACACAGATCTTGCTCCTACCTTTTGTAGCCTATAGTGGTGACAAAGAAAAGAAAAACCTGAGATTCCCAACTCTGAGTAGAGCAGCATAGAAAAATGCAGAACTGCAAAGAGACATTTTCAAAATCTCACTTCCAGTTCACAGCCAATATCTTTGCAAAAGGTTAAAATTAAGAAAATAACAGTCATGTTAGCTCAGGATTGTTTCAGGACTCAGAAAAATTCCTAAAGGTCTTCTTAACATTAACTTGGAAGACAGAGGCCGGATGAGGAATGAAATAAAATGGAATATACATTTTTTTGTTGTTAATTTTTACTAAATAGCTTGAGGTTGGCAAGATTTTGCCATCAACTAGAAAGTTTCATTGTCTTGCGGGAGTATATATTTATGTCTCAATTTGTACTCCTGATGATGCCATTCTTAATGAATGTATCTGTGATGAATGCCTCTTCTAATGATGACTAGAGAAAGCTTTAAGCAATCAATTGTCCTTGAAAATGAAAGCAACAGTTGCAGTTACCTTGGGAACACAGGGTCTAGTCTACCACTTTTCCTCTTCTCTTTCTTGCCATCCTGCCCTGGGTTGGTAGGAAGATGAGGGGCTCTATAATTCCTTCCCTAGGGTATTATTTCCTGCGGGGTGGCTAAGTTTCAACAGCATCAGGGTCTCCACCAGGGAGGTGCATCTGTCAGACATGTATCAGTCTACAGAAATGCATCCATCTACAGAGTACTAAACAGAAGTCATGATTATCTGGGTTAAAGTTCTTTTGGCTCTAATGCTAAGCCACTAATTAGTGTAAATGAGATGGCAGAGGCAGAAGGCAATGTTTAATTTGTTTAAGAGGGAAATACAAAACAAGGTTTTATTTTAAGTCCTTTAGCTTAAAAAATTTCCTACTGGCCAGGCACAGTGGCTCACACCTATAATTCCAACACTTTGGGAGGCCAAGGAGGGCCGATCACCTGAAGTCAGGAGTTCAAGACCAGCCTGGCCAACATGGAGAAACCGCATCTCTACTAAAAATACAAAAATTAGCCAGGCATGGTGGTACACACCTGCAATCCCAGCTACTAGGAAAGCCTGTTTTTTAGTAAATGTAGTTTACAATGGTAGCAGGTGAAAATGAACTCTGAACCTAGAAGCAGAGTACTGAGCTTTTAAACTTAGTGGTGATACTTGAGTGATAATGGGCAAATCAGTTCTGTGGGTGGGTGGATTTCCATTTCTTTATCTGCAAATTGGCAATAACAATACTTACCCTAACCTCTCCCAGCATTGTTGTGAAAGTCAAATAAATATAAACGTTTCTTGCTGTACTAATGTAATAACTGAATATTGTGATCAGTAATTACAAATATGTGTTGAAATTCATACAAATCTTAAGTGTTTTAAAAATAATGTCCAATATGAATTAAATGGTATTTATGTGCCAAGTACTGTTCTAAAGGTTTTATAAACATCATCTTACTTAATCCCCCAAACAACTGTTTCAGGTAGATGGTATAATTATCCTGACTTTATAGGTTACCAAACAGAGCTTAAATAGCCCAAAGTCATAGGGTTGGTAGATAACAAAGCAATGATTTGAATCTAAGTCAGCTGGAATCTAGAGACCAAGTCCTTACACATATAGTGCCTTCTTAAGAGAGACACATATGGAACATTACCTATCATCTCTCTCTCTCCATCCATCCATCCATCCATCAATCATCAGCACATCAGATCACTGTTAATATCTTTTAATTTATGGTCTAATTTCTTTATATAATTTCTAATTTTTATTAAAGCCTGAGGCTTTTGATGATGATGATGATGATTATTATTATTATTATTTGAGGTGGAGTCTTGCTCTGTCACCCAGGCTGGAGCACAGTGGCACAATCTCAGCTCACTGCAACCTCCGCCTCCCAAGTTCAAGTGATTCTCATGCCTCAGCCTCCTGAGTATCCTGGATTACAGCCGCCCACCACCATGCCCAGCCATTTTTTCTATTTTTAGTAGAGATGGGGTTTTGACACATTGGCCACACTGGTCTTGAACTCCTAATTTCAGGTGATCCACCTGCCTCTGCCTCCCAAAGTGCTGGGATTACAGGCATGAACCACCAGGCCCGGCTTTGATTATTTTTGTCCTCAAAATATAATAAAAATTTATAATTTAAAACAAAAAAGGAAGATGGCTGCCGAAATGAGCAAAAACAGTGAACCTGACTTTGAAATGTATTTTGTGCTTGTTTACTCCCCAAAACAAGATTAGTTTGCAATCCTGTACCTTATAGATGATCCTAAAGGCCTTGGAGACAATCCGGTGTCTATAGCAACCCCTGCCCCTGCCACACACATACACACATACTCACATACACAGCCACATGATTCTGAGGGCCAAATACTAGAATGATTTAAGTTCTCTTAAGGGACAGGTAAAATAAACAGGTAACACCACAACTACTGTCTAACTAATCATAAGTTTTTACAACTCCTGTGATTCACTGATAATCAGGTTCATAAACATAGATATCAGCAATAACCAAATGAGATAATGAGCTGAAAATGCTTCAAAACATATGAGAATATAAAGTATTATCCTCATTCTTATATATTTAAAAATCAGTAAATAATGAAAAACATTTTTGGTAGAGCATTCATGCCCAGGCAATTGCTTTTGAGAATCACTGCTGAAAAGGGAATTCTACTTCTATACCCGAGCCATATGAAAGCCACTTGTTGGTCATCCTCTTCCAAGATGAGGCATATTTGTTGGTCCAGAGGCTAATATAAGCTTAAATTTAAACCCATCCTAAAAACGGTTTATCTCACTGACTATTCAGATGGAAACAATGTGCAATTGAGGTCATTTCACCTGTTGGGATTATTGTAATCTAGTCAGTAGTAGACAGTAAATAGATTTTGTTCATGTTCAATTCTTTTGTATAATCACACTTTAATATATTCCTTAGGCATGCATGCCAGTTGGAGAGGAATAAGGATACACATGAGCAAAAATAAATTTAAAAAAATCAAATACTCTTTCTCTTTACATTAGAATCCAATCAGAAGCATAATTTGGTTCAGATACTGATGTTTGTGAACTCTCACTGTCCAGGCTCTGTTGTTGATCCAGCCCAGCAAATGAATCAACCATTTGCAGTGAACTGAGAGCTGTGTACATTGCAAATACCAAATTACTGCCAAACAACCTTTTTGCCCATGGTGGAATGGATATGGTGGATGACATCATATTTAAAATATTTTAGGGATCTTAAGTCAATATTTTGCTGTAATAATAAGCAACCAAGTAATGATTTGAGTTGTGCTCATATTGTTCATGGTCTGTCCCTCTCATCCTTTCTACTGATATTCTCAGCACTCCTTCCATCTCCCTTAGGCAGAGACCTGGAATATACCAGAGTACTAGGAAAGAAGAGAATGACAGAATGGAAAGGGACATCTCCAGGCTTGCATTGTGATCACCACCCCATGTATCTGCATTCCTTGTTTTAATGCTTCGGTTCAAGTGTGTCAGCAGAACCAAGGCAGGACAATCACTCCTGCCTTTCTACTTAAATTGCAAAACAACAATGCGGTTTATTGGAAAACGTCCAGGTCTGGAGTCTGGCCTGGGTCTTCACCCAGTCACTCACTAGCTGTGCACTTCTGGTGAGTTGCTCAACTTTCCTGGGACTGTTTTCTTATCAGTAAAATGCTGTGTGTGGAAAGGGCACACAGGTGAGATACTATGGCTTTTCCAGCAGGTATCTGACACCTCCTAGCTCTGTCAAAGCATGCAGCTTTTGGATGGAGAGTTGTCAGATTCATTTGCCTAAAATATCTGGTCAGAGATGGTCTGGTCACCGAAATGTGGAGGCAGCCTTAAAGATTTTCTGGAAAGAAACTTACATTATCTTTCTAAGGAGAAAACACAGGAATTCTGCAGAAAAGCCTGAGAAGAGAAGTCGAGGGGCCTTCAGAGAGAAGGGAAAACTGCCTGATAAGTTACTGTCAAAGATCTGAAGGACATAAAACCTGCTTAACTGAGAAATTGTTGAAGGATAGAAACAACCTCTTTGCCCTGTAAAGCAAACTGCCACTGTGGAGAGAGGTAGAATGAAAATAAAAGGAACTGACACGTGAGCCACTTGAAGGTCTCTTTGAGGCAGATACATTAACCTCCACCAAGGGAGCTGAGTCAGGTGCTCTTTCATGGAGCAAAGGAACTCTAGCTTGAACATCTGGCAAAATAAGTATCAGTGCAGAATGCAGTCCACCAATTCGCTCTGGAAGTCAGTTCAATCTTGTTCAGAGAAAAAGTGAGATTTTCTTTTTGTTGTTGTTTTTTAAAGGACAAAAAACAACCAAAGACACAAACCAAATATCAAAATCCCTTCAGTCATGATGGCCATCAGTAATTATGCATGCAATTATTATAAGATACCTGTACCAAACAGTATAACAACAATTAGCACATTCAAAGAAAAACAGACATTCTTTAATTTCAAAGAAAAGACTAATTGGCTAAAATGAACTACAATCAGAGTAGATTGCATTTTAAATTTACATAGAAGAGGTATCCTATGCTAATATAATAGTGGAAATCATTTACTCACCTCTCTTCCCTGAGGGTTTCCAAGAATTTGGAAGCATTGCAGAGTAGAACAATTGCCATAATGTTACAAAGCATCTTTAAAAAGGTCATGATACTAGTCCTACATTTCAGCATATCGTATAGTGATATTTATGAATAATGATTGTCTCTATTTAATAAAGTCACCTGTATTCCATGGATTAGTAAATCATATATACATTTTAATTGTGTTTGGGTACATTATACTTTGACAAACATTTTAGCGATTGCATGAAGTACAAATAACATTTAATTTTTAGTTTTTGTAAAATGTTTGAGAATATTAGATATACCTGTTTTGCTGGAATATATACTGCAATTGAATATCCAATTATTAATAGATGTTTTAATTCAAAAAATCTGAATACTCTGACGATAATGCCTTTTAACAAAAGACAAAGACAAAACATATATATATTTTATCATATAATCATTTTCATTGTAACATAGCTGTGGTATCAGCCTAGAAAAAACCTCCTGGGAATTCATTTCAAATTATTGAAGCAGCTGTTTCTTCAGTTTAAAATAAAATATCCATAACAAGTTCACACATGACAGATGCAAGTTAAAAACTAGATTCCACAGTGTGAGCTAAAAGCAGATGTTTTGAATGATCATATTTATAACCAGATATGATCATATTTATAACCAGATACAATAAATCTTAGTTACCTATAGTAAGAATTCATGAATACTCTTTTCTATGAAATGGCTTAAAATGTAGTTCCTGTAGTTTCTTAGATCTTTTGGAACCAGGCTTCATTAAATGCAAATATCCTGTAAACTCATAGGTATCTAGTCTTTTTATTCTTGCTTATTTCAAGGATAAAAGCACTGTTAGGGCACTGACATTTATTATATTTATTTAGTGCTACACATTTTCCCTATCCAACTCAAAGTCAGAAAATTCTTTTGTTTCTGTGAATAAACTCATGACTATTAGAGTGAGAATTTCAAGTCTCAGAATAAGCAGTTTTCCTGGTGAAAAGCCACTCCAAATATTTAGTGAATGGTAATATTCAATTAGAACTTTAAAAAATTATAAGCAATGCAGGTTTGGTGAAAATTCAAACAAGTGAAAAGTTTGACATAAGAGTGAAAGCCTAGGGTTATCAACCATACAATTATGATTGTCTTCTTCTAAAATTTTGTTTTATAGTGTATCACAAATTTCCCACTTCCAAGTTGATTAACTTACATTTCTAAACCAAAGTAATCATGGCATAGGGGAAAAGCACGCGATGCGGTGTTGTAAGACGGGTTTGTGTTCTGTCTTTGCTTCTTACCAGTTACGCATCCTTGGACAGATCCCATCGGTGTTTGTTGTCAGGAATAAACACGAAAGTATACACACATACAATTGCTTTGTAATATATGGGAGTTACGTTTTTAGAAAATTCACATATGCTCTCATATGTGAATGTACAATGGCATGTACAATGATGCAGTGAAACACTGCTTATCATTGGTGCTTATTCATTAAATATTCAGATATGTATCAAGACTATGAGCAGGCCACTTATTCAATGTAGCCCCCACCACAGCAAAGCCTTACATATAGCTTTATACTACAGTGAAAACAGGTCATCACCTCTGCATGATGCTCTTCATTCTGCTGCAAGACTTCTATGCAGAGCTCTGCTAGATGAAGAATCTCTTCCAGCTTTCTAGCAGGAGATGCCTGGCTCATGGTCTCTATATGAAAAAAAATCATAATCATGTTACCTTGAAAACAAAAAACCAAACATGTCTGAAGACATAATGATGAGACTAGAATGTTTAAATAGAATGAGAAATAAGCAAAACGAGAAATACAAATGAATAGATTATTTAGTTAAAAAAAAAAAGCAGTTCACCAGATTACAGAAAATATTTCACCCACAAAGCAATGACAGGGAACTGCAAGTGCTTTGCCATTTAAGAACAGGTGCATCAGCACATTAGATGCTCAACTTCTGCAACAAACAAGTTATAATTCTCCTCAAGGTCAGCAGCACAAAGAGAGCAGATACAACAGTCTTTTCTTTCTCTCTGTATTGTATTGTCAGTACAATACCATTCTCGCCAGATGAGTCATTCCTGGCATTAGCAAAACCCATGCTTTTTTGTTGCTATTTAAATTCCCAGCCAGAAATGCCTATAGTTCATGTTGATCTTAAATTCAAGAAGTACAAAGTCATCTAAAACAACTCTGACAGCTAGCAATTGACTGATTTCCTCCTTATTTCCCAGCCACCATCCCACCCCACCTTTCCAACTGAGGAAGTTATGGAGGAGGAAAGCAGGTAGTGTTGTCTAAAGCTGAAGGTTCTTTCAGCAGTAAGCTGAACTGGCATAAAAAGGAGAGACCACAATGAGATTAAGTGCAGTTAACTGAAATTCTGCTATAGAGAAGGCAAAGTAGTTATTTTCTAAGACTCAAATAGCTGGCAGAAATTAGAGATGCCCTGTGTAATGAAACTGTTCCAAAACAATGTGAAGAACAGAGTTTCCAATAAGGATATTAAAGATAAATGTTGTCTGGGAGTCACAGGATCTTTCTCTTTGCTCATTAAGGAGGTTGTGAGGAAGGAAAATCAAATTTTCAGTAAAAGATATTCTTCCAGGGGAATTTAAAGGCCCTTTTTTTTTCCCGCAACAGATTTTTTCCCTTGACGTACTTCTTCCTAAAACATCAGCTTGAAATTTGGAAGAGACACTTCCATTTGCTCTGTTCGAACATGTTCCCAAGGGATGTACAATGATGCAGTGAAACACTGCTTATGATTGGTGCTTATTCATTAAATATTCATTAGACATTCACTGTAGCTCAGATACGGTGCAAGGCACTGATGTGAGGTTCACATCCCTCAATCCTCAAGCCATATACACTTCCTACTATATTCCCCTGAGGAATGGAAAACCATTGCTCCTCTGTGACAAGGATAAAAAATTACAATGATTCTTTAGAAAAATTAGTGTGAAACACCAAATAGTCAAGTGTGACTTCAATGTTATTAGCTGTAGGAAATAAGAGGCAGTATGAGACATACTTTCATTCCCAAACAACTCAAAATCAGAAACTCATGACTGAAAAGATCCTTAGACATCAATGATCAAATCTTTCAACTGTTTCATGAATATTTCAACATCCTCAAATGAGGGTGAAGTCCAGGAGGCTCAGGATTTTGCATGACAACCTACTTAACTTAGGGGCAGCTCTAGCTGTTCTAGCTTTATTAGGAAGAGAAGGGCCCTAGGAAAAGCTCAGAAGCAACATGAGGCAAATCTATTGGTGATACAGAAAATGTTAGGGAAGACTGCTGAATGCAGGTCTAGGGTAGACATTGGGGGAAGGTAAGCCAGAAGCATGGTCGTAAAGAAATAACAAATGACCTGGGGAAGAGGAGAAGGGATTTTCCGAGAAAAAATATTGTGTGACACAGATGCGATGCATTTTGGAGGAAGATGATGGTAACAATGGTTAGAAATAATACAGTTTCTTGAGAACCAATTATGTGTCAGGCACAACCCAGGGCACTTCCCATGTGTTAGTACACACATTTTCCTAACAGGTTTGCTTTTTATTCCTGTAACTGATAGATAAGGAAACATGCTCAAAGAGATAAATGCAGCAGCTAAAAAGCAGTTAAGGTGAGACTTGAACATGTGGGCACTTGTACTTGTCTGGCTGGAGTAAGAATGTCCCAAGAATGATGGGTGATCACAGCAGCCTTTAAGTAAGATAATAAGTAGACTAGATGACTACATCCTATGAATAACTTGCGGCAAATGTTTCCTAGAAGGGTCTCAGAATAAATTAATTTTAGGAAAATGTATTTGGTGGTTGTGTGCAAGAAGGACTGGTGAAAGTGTGTGACATGGATCCTGAGGATCTGGTTTAACATAATAGTGAGCTATGGAAAGATGATACTAGGAACAGAAAAGAAGGGAAAGATGCACAGATACTCCAAAGGAAGAATTTGTGAGCCACTGTTGACTGGCCAAAATTTGCAGGCCAGAGAGGAGTATGACTGAGGCTTGGAGACTTCGTGGCTTAGAGAATGATGCTGCAGAGTCTTCAATGGAACATCCCATACATTTTAGCACTAAGTACATTTCCACATAAGTGTGATTTAAAATAAGTTAAATGTTCTAAACTAAAAAATATAATTGTGAATTGTAAAATCTGCAAACATGCAGAGTTAAGCTATCTGAATCTCTGCCTGACAAACTCCTACTCTCCTTCAAGGTTCTACTTTAATGCTACTTAAAATTGGATCTTCTCTGAGTTTTGGGGCTGAAGGAGTTGCTCCTCTATCTGAACTTCCCTATTACAGGCTCATGAGTCTGTTGCTAAACTGTATTAGATCAAAGTCAGAAACCGAGTCTCATTCATAGTTATCTTGTGTAGGCTTTGGACCATGGCAGGTATTTAATGAATGTTTACTGAAAATGCAGCAGAATAATTATGGGAGGAAAAGCATGATAAAAAAATTCAATCAATACTCCAATTTTTAAATTTTGCATGGGATTGCAAAGATCTCATCTGCATCTAATACATCAAGGGTGGATAAGAGAGCAATCTCACGACAAAATGCAGCTGTAGCGTGAGAATCCTTCTCAAATAACTGATAAATGTTTAGTTCTGAAATCCTTAAAGAAAAAGCTTTCTTCAGAAATGAAAACTTTCTCAGAAAATGTCTTCAAAATAACCTTTAAGCCTCAAGAGGATATCACTTATCTTTCTTAATTTCTCCATTTTTAGATGAAGAGTATTTAGTTTGGGAGTCAGAGGTTTCTTGAACTCCTTAAATTATGTACTAATTTTTGTGTAGAGCAATTTTTGGGGTGAGGGAGAAGGACCACACCTTTCAGCAGATTCTCAAAGTTGTCTATAAACCAAACAAATGCTAAGAAGTACCAAACCAGAAAATTTCTAGAATTCCTTCTAGCTGAGGCAATCTATGCCTCCTATAAATGTTACACTTATATATTGCATTATATTATTTAATGTACCCATAAATGCATATAACATGTTTTTCTTAAAGAAAGGGAAAGGCAATAAAATTTATTTATGTATCGAAGATTAAGAATTTATTTTTCCTACATACTTTAGTGTTAGGGAATAGCACTATTTGAATCTTTGCCTAACTCTTTGCATGTTTGCAGATTTTACAATGTATAACATTGTTTCAGTTTAGAATATTTAACTTATTTTAAATCACTAAAGTAGGTAGGAAAAATAAATCGTACATACTCTACCAAATCCTCACAAGCATTCTGTAAATTAGAGAATCATGATTCTCCATTTCCAGAGTCTTGGAGAGGTTAAAGGTGTCTGAGCTCATACAATTTGTTGCTGGCTGAGATGACACTAAAATCTTACCTCTGATGTCATACAGACAGAAGTAATATTACTACAATACTTGAATTCTTTTTCCTTTTTTAACTTTCTGAATAAAAATCACGTACAAATCCCCCTACTCCACATCCTTAGCCACAAGTACACATAATAGAAAAGAATAACAGAACCAACCTTAGAACTTATTATGTGTGAATCTTTCAAAATCAGCTTTTACATGTTACACTGTCTTAAGTACAAACTCTGAGAGTACCCTGTGTCCTAGTGAAATTTTAAAAGTTCTAAAACATTTATTCTTCCTAGATTAAGTTTATTGAGAGGATCAAAACTTTGTACTTGAACATAATGGCCACTCTAATACTTTAAATAGACAGCATTTTTATCAAGTACACTGTATTCTTTCTCTGGTTTCATCCATTTGGCTACGGCCAAGAAGTTTAATGCATTCTGTAGTCATAACTCTATTAGATAACAAGGTTATCACTAGCTCCATTAAAAAGCTTAACATTGGGAATATTTGAGAATTCCTCTTTAAAATGTTTTCTTTCACTCATTTTGTAACATTTCTGAAGCACTATAGATGGCTCTACATCCTTTAAGCTTCACACCAAATTGCTGATTGCTATAATACATTTCAAATAGTGACATTTAAAACAAACATGCTAAAAGTAGCAAGGTTTCTTGATGAATTTCAACGCATTGTTCTTCGCTATGATTCTTCTTTGCTCTGGAACACTTTTGGTTTTCTACAACCAAAATAGAAAACCAAAGAGTACTTGGCTCACTGAAACAATTAATTTTTAATTATACCTCTGTATATTTAAGAAGCGATCCCACTGGAAAAGGGGATAGGAGATAGAAAGATATAAGAAGACAGCTTGACTGTTTGGTTTGGTAGGGTTTCATGGCCTCTGAAAGGGGCATACTCCTGGTACACTGTACTGGGTTGCCTCTCTTGCTGCTATTTCCTGTCAAAGTCCCCAGTGGTGGATGCACATTGATGCTCATGGTAAAGCTTATGCCAGGATGTGGGAAGAAGACCAAGAGATCCCTTCCATTTATCCATATATGTTATGTAGTAACTTGTCATGCTCTGGCCTTAACTTTAAAAAATTTTTAATTGAAGAATAAAAAGAGTATTTGCTAATAATGTCACATGATGGTTTGATAGATGCACATATTATGTTACAATTTTCACAAATTAATTTTGAGAAGAGAGATTTTAAATGTCCTTACCTCCACTCACCATGACCGTAACTTTTAATGAGTAGATTGTATCTGTATTTGCAGCTAAACAATAAACAGTGTTGAAGATGGTTTTAGATTGAAGGACTATGGCAATAATCCCATC